CGTAATTATGATTTATACTCTTTCTCCGCTATCAACTCTCCAACAGTTGAGTCCATCCTACGGTTTATACATAATAGCGCGAGTTGTAATATACCGTTGCGGTGAGATAGTGCTCGAGACATTACTTCTGTGTCTATCATCTATCACGGTGCGCTGCACACGAACCAATTAATCTTGATTATACATTTGCATTCTGCACGACTGTTCGAGAAAGAACAATTATTCGCTCTCTTTCGCGAACGAAATAACATTATGGTTTTTTTTTTCGTTTTTTTCGCGTAATCGGTAAACCCGACTCGATATTTAAGGCAGCGGAAAAATATACGTTCGAAAATTACGACGACCGGGGGCCGGGCTCTTGTTTCGACGTCGAAATGCGCCAACCAAAGCTAAATTTTTCAAGCCACTTGTGCGAACGCGATTTGCCTCTCTATCGGCGCAATTTTTGCAATACACTTTTGAATACCTCGCCATCGCTTACGCCCGGACTAGCCGAGCTTTTCATCAAAACAGAATAGTAGTCGACATGAAAGGGCAAAAGAGACGGAAAGACAAAAAGAGAAAGAATAAATGGAGAGGCAACGTGTATGTTATCGAACGAATACGTCGATGTGCCGAGGTAGAATCGACATTTCAACTACTACGCGTGAATTTTTATGCACCAGACGGAAATTTGGGCAGTTGATCTTGAAGCGGTTTCCGGGAAAATAAAAATTTAGATGATAGCGCATTTCGCGGAATAAATTACTCGCGATTTTGCTGGGGGTCGATAAACGAGTGAAGCGACACGCCTCGCGCAACGTAAACCATCGCGTTTAAAAAAAAAAATGGAACAGATTAAAGGGAGAAGGCATTCGCATTACCAATGAATTACCTCCGAAAGTTCTGAAATATAATCCGAACGGATGTGAAATGACATATGTCTCTAATTACTAGCGGGGTTCGACGGAAATTTTCGGTATATCTAACATTCGGATCTCTTCGCGCCGAATCGGATTCGATTCAAGTCCCGGACGGTCTATATATTCAGATAATACTGTGGATAATGGGTTACTTGCCATTACCCTACATTTCACATGACGGGGCTCGTCCGAGTCTTATCGTGAAATACAATAGAATTTTTATGCACGTGAACGAACCATATTGGACCATTGTCGTTCGCCTCGTAGAAACCGGAGAGCGGCCAAAAAGTAGCTGGACGCTGAACCGTGTTAATAAAAGGGACAAAAATTTTAAACCGCATTTCCAGGGCCCGACGAGAGTTCGTCGTTATACGTTAGTAATTGTCTTCGAAGCTTTAAGACATCGTCGAAAAAATTAGGTAATTAAGATGGCTGCCGCGGCGTCCCGCCGTACGCTTCGTGCCGCCGTCGTGCACTCGCCTTGGTCTTTTGCCTCTTTAGTCGGGACGAGGTTTTTACCACATCGGATGCCGCAACCGCTATGATATTGCATGTCGGCAGAATCTTGATGCCCTACGCGGCCGTATACGGGTAGGGCGATGTCCACTAGTACCTAATTTTACGATTCTTTTTCCGCAGCGGGAACCGGGCGAACCCCGCGGCGCAAAAAAACGTAACGAATAGTAAAATATGAAAAAAAAATAAAGCCATCTTGTCCTAAATGGAGTCATATAAACCCTATTGTGCCAAGATCTTAACGAAATTTGTGGTGCCTGCTGTGAGGTGAAATCTCTTTTTAGGTAGCGAAGAAAGTGGATAGTTTTCGGCGTCGGGCGGTTCTGAATAACTTTCTTCGAGTTAGTTCCAAGCAGTAAATTATTATTTTTCGGACAAAAACTTATGTTGAAAGATATTCATATGCACACTCATTCACACACAGCTTTAAAAGCGGTCCGAAGGCAGCGATAGTTTATTACTCATAAGTAGCGTCAATAATTCAATAAGTTGTTCAACTTGCGCTTAAAATTGGCTCTCTCCTTTTTCCTTATTCTACCGCTAACGCTGCTTTAATTAAATATCCGCTGCTTTCAGTTTGCATGTCAGACAAATTATTGTTAATTCTTAAATACCGGATGAACGGTCATGTAATTTATAATTACGAAGATCTGGACTGTGAAATTATTTAAACGGATTTTACGTTTTTAGAGTTTTTATTTTTTGGGTTAATTGTGAAGATATTTAATATTAAATTTGAAAGAATGGTAAGAAAAGGTGTAGCATCTTATTGAAACTTTACTAAGCAAAACGCAACTCTTAATTAAACAAGGAATCCAGAATTCAAAAGACTGCTTGCAATTTTGAATTATTCTGTATAAACTCTTTCGATTCACTTTTCTTGCGTTTTTACTACACATTTCTTAAAACACCGAAGAAAGTTATCTTTGCTATTATATAACAGAAATAAGTGATGGCTTTATCATAACTCTGATTGAAAAGAGATTATTCGAACCAGTGAAATGTGTATGGAATACGAAAGCGTTATTCTAAAAAATTGGACGCCAACTTTCGATTTTCCAGAAAAAAAAAAAGGACGAATGATACAGATCTATGTAGAATATTTCAAAATTAGTATCGCGAGCGAAGTGTCTCGGTCGTGCCCGAGAACCTTGGGCACTTCGTTAGGAATGCTGTGGTCCAGCGTATGCGGGAACGCCGATATCGAACGAAAATGTGGAGGGAACGGGAGCGACGGTATCGCCGACGGCGAAGAGATCGGGCGAGGGCGCGTCTCCCGCGATAACTGGCGTGATTCCAATGGACAAAGCGAGCGGGGTGGCAAGCAGGGCGAAATAGAGGCGAACACGACACCCGAAAACGGGTCCACTCATTCTCGAAATAGGCACCTGGAATGCCGACCCCGCGGTAGAGCTATTCTCTCTATCCGGCTGGGCGTTCGTGTCAACGTGTCTATCTCTTTCTCTCCCCCGTTCATCTCGCTTCTTGACTATGCGCGCCATTATCCTCAGCTATCATTAAGCCTCAACTGCTACGGTCAAATTTGGATAACGTTACCGATTGTTAGACTTCACGGCAGACTGGGCGTAATAGAGAAATGACGTTCTGTGCTTTAAGCTAATGGATTGGAAGGCCACTTCGGGCTTCATAATGATAAGTGATAAAATGCGTGAACACGCATTTCCGAAGAAGTTAGGAGTGCAATAAAAATTAATGACTAATTATCCGCTCTTTCCGATACTTTACACGATACCTGCAACAAGGACTTTGGACTCATACTTGTTTATCAGTGAAGCTTAGTATTATTTTTCACGTAATGATGTAAAATTATTCTTAATATATAATACACTCAAAAAAATATTTCGCTGATGTAGTTAGATTTCTAGATATCGCAACAAGAATGTATCGCTATTTTTCGTATCTGTGAAAACATTGTTTGTCACATATAGAATTTATAGCAGTAATGTTCTAGCAATAGCTTCTGAAAAATTTAGGTACCATTGCTAAATGTTATTCATTGCATGATCTAACACGTGATTGATCTTATATAGATAGGCGCTTTAGAGAAACTTTCTTTTTAAAGTTCACAAACAATACAGATATATATTCTGTTTCTGTCATCTAAACTGATTAAGTAATCACATATGCAATATCACAACAGTTGCTAATCATTTATCTGTTTTAGTTAATTTTTTACACCTAGAAAATTTTAGCTATTATTGCAAGATCATTTTTTTGAGTGTATTACTTTCTTTCTATCGATTGCACATTATAATAGAGAAAGGCGTTTTCTTATGATAAAAATTTATGCGAAAGACGCTAAGATATCGCCTCTCAATTTTATACCGGAAAGAGACAATATCTACGGCGTTATTGTGCCTGAAATTAAACGCAGCCCCGCCGCCAGCCTCCGCCCCGTTCCGTTTCGCGCGTCATTTTGTCTCTGAAAACAAGCAAATATCACGTTGGTATGACTGCGTCTTTTCTTGCACCTCCGCGCGACGCGCAACGGCAAGGCTGAAAAGACCGTTCTCGCGCGATCTCGGGAGGGAATACCGAGATAGAACGAAAACGGCGCGGACGGTGGCAAAGGAAGGCGAGCGACGCGAAGGACGGAGGCCACCGAGAAAGATACCGATGGCATTTAGTAGCTTCGCTCGGAACGTTTTAGATAATGACCGGGTGGATTACCGAGTCTAGACGAGGAAGAAGGGTCTTCTTTTCCTCACGTTCGATTCCGCCGCCGCCGGTGCCCGGGAGAGTCGGAACGAGATGATCGAGGAAACGAAAAGGGAGAGAGGGAAGGGGAGAGGCGGTAAAAGATCGACGGCATGTAGGAAGAAACGAAGATAAAGGTGGCCGGTCGCGTTCTGGCGATAGCGAGCTTTCATTCCGAGGCATTATTCACGTCGTTTGCCAGGCAAACGGACGAGCCGGAAAACTCGCCGGAGCGAGAAACATTGCGTTTTCGAGTGCGTCGCCCAAAAGAGAGAACGCGGA